AAAGAGAAAAAGAGAAGGTTCTCCCAATGGGGTGACAGCCTTCAGCCAGTCCCAGACCATGGGCACATGTGTGCCTGGTGCACTCAGTGAGGTCTCTAGATTTACACCACGTGGGATTACCCCAGAGCATCATCGCATTTTACCTCTAGATCACCGTCTGGCCCATCCAGTGCTCTAGTTTGACTCTAGCTTGCTGTACCATATTTGGAAACTATTTCCAGGCAGAGAGCCAAAGTAATTGGAGAATTTACCTTCTGAGTTCTTCTCTTAGGGAACATGGTCTCTGATTAATCTAATGCCAAAAGTTTCCTCGTATGTTTTACTCAATTATGGTTATTTGTGGTAAGATGTCTTAATCCAATTGGGCTACAAAAACAAAATACCAGACTGGGTGCTTATAAAGAATGGGCATTTATTTCTCAGTTTGAGAGGCTAGGAAGGCTAAGATGAAGGCACAAACTCGCTGTCTGTTAAAAACCCACCTTCTGGTTCACAGTCAGCACCTCTCACTGTGTCTTCATATGATGAAAGGGACAAGGAATCTCTCTGCGATCTCTTTTATTAAGGCACTAATCCCATTCATAAGGGCTCCATCATCATGACCGAATCACGTCTCAACAGCCCTATCCCAAATATTATCACCTTACGAGCTAGAATTTCATCATAAAAAAATCAAGGGGAGGGCTGGTAGGTGGTACGGTGTTTAAGGACACTGGACTCACACGTGTTCGACTGCAGTTTGAGTCCCAGACCTGGTGGCTTCCTTTCTCTCTCTCTCTCTCGCTCTCTCTCTGTTCCTCTATGGTCAAATTAAAATATCCAAGTAAATTGGGACCAGCAGTTGGCGTAATGGTTATGTCGCTGGACTCCCATGTAGTCAACTGCGGTTCAAGTCCCAGACCCAGTGGCTTAAAACTCACACTGGGCGTGTGTGTGTGTTTTGCCCAAGATTGTGAGAGCAGAATGGAGGAGAAGGGATAGTGGCATGCCTTGGGGGTGATTTCTCACTTTCTCTCTCTCTGTCTTTCTGGTGAGCTCACACGCCTTATAGCAAAAACTTCGCAATAAATAAATAAATAAATAAAGTTAAATTGAAAAAAAAAAAATCAAGAGGGACATAAGCATTCATAGAATTAAGCCTGCTACCAGTTACTCCATCCACAACCAGATCCCATGTGGGAAGAGTTTAAGTTATTGATTCCGTTTCTTTAACAGTTACATAACTACTTAGGTTTCCTAGTTCTTGAGTCAGCTTTGGTAATTTACATTTTCCTAGGAATTCATCTATTTTCTATTTTTCAAATGTATTGTCATATAGTCATATAATATTCCTAGTAATCTTAAAGCTCTCTGTAAGTTATGTTCTATTAGGGTAAACTTACTTGTAAAAGGGGAAAAAAAAACTTATATGAACTTGAGTTATCTTTCTCAAAATTACCAATAGTTGGGACCAGCAGTTAGTGTAATGGCTAGGTCGCTGGACTCCCACATAGTCGACCGCGGTTCGAGTCCCAGTGGCTTAAACTCACGCCGGGCGGGTGTGCGTGCGTGCCCAGGATCCTGAGAGGAGAAGGGATTGTGGCGTGGCCATGCCCCCTGGGGGATGATTTCTCGCTTTCTCTCTCTCTCTCTCTCTCTGTCTGTCTGGCAAGTGCACGCACACTATAGCAAAAACCTCTCCAAAAAAAAAAAAAAACCAATAGTTAGAAAGATGCTTCAAATACTTCAACATTCATATTCCCTCACATGTACGGTTTGTTTCAACCATTTAAGAGTAGGCTGATTACAATGTGTCCCCTTGCACCTGAATATTTCAGCATATATTTTCTTACATTATTTATGGTGTCTTAATCAATATTGGGAAATTTAACACTGATAATACTATATTATCTGATCCACAGCCCTTATTTCAGTATTTTTCAATTGGCCCACCAATGTCTTTTACAGCTTTGTCATCTATGTGTGTGTTGTTCTTCCCTCTAGTTCACTTGCCCATGCTGCACTGTATTGTCATGTTTCCTTAGTTCAATCTGAAGGAATTTATCTTTCTTTTCTTTTTTTTCTTGGGGGGGGGAGGGAAGCGGTTTTTGCCATAGGGTGCATGTGCTCGCCGGAAAGACAGAGACAGAAAGCGAGAAATCACTCCCCAGGGGGGATTGCCATGTCAGAAGGGATTGTGGCGTAGCCATCCCCTCCTAGGGAGTGATTTCTCACTTTCTGTCTCTCTGTCTCTCTATGGTGAGTGCACATGCCCTATAGCAAAAACCATTCAAAAAAAAGTTTAAGTCCAAAAAGCTTCATAACGAATACTTGCAGTCCACCCCACTCCTGAAATCCTCTTTCCAGAGGAAAAACACTTTGAATTTTTTCCTTACTTCTGAATAATATACATATACTAAAATATTTTGTAGTGAGTTAAGACTTTTTCTCTCTTGACTTCCTGTTTTGGTGGACTAGGATTTAGCTGACTCAACTATTCTGAGATGCTTCCTTCCCATTCTATCATTTTTGACTAAATCAGTATTTGGGGTTATTATTATGGCTATGCAATTATTTATAGCTGAGCATTTTAGGAGCTGAGCAGTTTAGTTTCACTTCTTTTTAACTTCTTTCTTGTAAGCTTACAATTGGCTTGACTTTTATGTTTTGCACTCATTGATAATCTTTTTGCACTTTGCTACTTTCTTTTTCTGACAGGCTCATTATAAATAATCCTGCCCTTCTTTTGAATAACTGCTTTCTAGGCGTGATGCAGGGCTGTCATCCTGGAATTCTGCTACATCCTAAGAAGTCTTCTTCCTTGGATGTGGATTCTCCATTTTCTGGATCTCTTTCTTGGTTTGCTGCCTTTTTTTCTTTTTTTAATAAAAGTGTGGCACACGTTTCCACAGCTTGTTTCTAGTTTTTCTGAGATATAAATGCAGTAATTTAGTATCAGCTACATTGATTCTAGCCCTCAAAATTCCAATCTTTTAAACTACAGTGATCCATTCTAAATAGGATTGCCCTGTGGGGTCTCCTTTCACCATCTTCCTTTACCTTTGCCTCTTTCCTGGGTTAGCTCCATTTTCTGTATGTACATCTTCCTTTTCTTTTGTTTGTGCCTTCATTTAAAAATATATATATTTAATTTTATTTATCATCATTATTATTTAATTTGCTACAGGGCATATATGATCATCAGACAGAGAGGGGAGAGGTAAGAAAGCAAACCGCCAGGTCCAGGACTTGAACCACAGTTGGCTATATGGGAGTCCAGCACCTTAACCATCAGTCCACCTGCTGGCCCCTATGTCCTCATTTTGAAAGACCATATCCTCTAGTAGCTTCTTGAGAAAGGATGCATAAGAGGAAAAATGCTTTAAATTCTGTATGTCTGCAAACATGTTTATTATGCTTACTTAATAGTTTAGCTGGGTACAGAACTCTCAACTGCTATATTAGCTAAGGAACAGACCTGAATATCCTGTAGTCCAAACAAGGCAGGAGCTCATTTCTCTTATATTGACCGTCTGGAGGAAGGAGACAAGGAGAAAGAGCTGCCCAGGCACTGTATTGTTCCACCATTCCTAGGTCAATCCTAAACCAACTTACCAGCAACAAGTGAATGCAAGCCTGTAGGATGGAGAAGAGAGGAGGTGGAGAGCAAACACTTCCCTTAAAGACTGTGACTGAGAAAGGGGCACACATTCGGAGTAGCAATGTGCCCCCAGCCCCCTGCCTCCAAAGCCCTGGAGGATCTGACCCTGCCCTCCTGCTGCCCCCATCTCTACCCTCTCTCACACATCAGGCTCTCACCCCTCTTGCCACCTTGCTGCATGTGTGCATGCCCAAACACCATGATGGAGAAAGGGAGACAGGATTGTGGGGTGACCACCTATAACTAAGAGTTACCTTTCTCCCTCTCTCAAAAGTGTACACGTCCTCTGGCAATTAAATTAAAAAAAGAAAAAGAAGGGCCAAGGTGGCATGGAGGTTAAGGCAACCTGGATCCCACATGGCCAACTGCATGATTCAAGTCCCAGATCTGAAACCTTGAAACTCACACTGGGTGGGGCCAGCAGGTGGCATGGTGGTTAAGGCCACTGGACTCCCACATGGCCAACTATGGTTCAAGTCCCAGACCTGGCGCCTTGCTTTCTCACTTCCTCTCTCTCACTCTGTCCCTCTCTGGTAAAATAATAACTAAATAAACAAATAAAATAATTCTTAAAAAAATAAAATAAAATCACACTGGGTATATGTGCCTAAAATCTCAAGAGGAGAAGAAGGGATTGCAACATGGCCATCCCCCCAGGGGATGATTTCTCACTTTCCCTCTCTCTCTGGCAAGTGCACAAGCCCTGTAGCAAAACTTTATAAAAAAAAAAAAAATTTTTTTTAAGGTAAAGGAAGGAGAAAGAGAAGGAGGAGAAAGAGGATCAAGTGGGTTTGTGGATTAAGATGGTAGTGCAGGTTATAAGGTGACTTGCAGCAGTAGCTGAGCGTGTGTGTGTGTGTGTGTGTGTGTGTGTGTGTGTATACGTGAAGAAGTTTCTAGAGAAGATGGCTCTTAAGCTGAAAGTTGGAAGATGAGTAGGAGTTAACTACACAGCTGATTTACAAAGCATTTACACCTTTAAGTAAAACTGTCAATAATAAAAATCATAGGTAACAGGTACTAAGTTCCTTCTATGTACCAGATACTGTGCTGAGTCATTCATGGGGACTCTGTGATCCTTTTGCACTCAAAGGGAACCTGAAACTCAGAGATGTCAAGTAGCTTGCAGTGACAGGATAGAGATAACCATTTTCTACCACCTTATAGAGGGGTCCTGAGGCCCAGAGCAGGGCAGCAACTTGGCTGTGGTCACGGAAGGGCAGAGGTAAGACTAGAACCCTAGACTTCCAGCTCCTGGGCTTGTGTTCCTGCTCCAGAACTGGCCAGACAGAACAGGGGATCAGGAAAACTGGGGGGGATGAAAGAGCCCGGCTTAGCTGGGCTGCCACTGCCTCCCTAGTTACTACCAGAAGAAGCTGAAGGAAGGCACCTACAGGGTCAGAGAGATGGAATCAGCCATTGGCCAGCTGCGGTCACGGAAGAAGCTTCACTACAACCTTCAGCATACAGAACTGGAAATCTCAGAACGAAGGGTCTTCAGGATCCTGAACCGGCTAAAGCCGCAGAACTATGGTGAGGGCCTTGGGCCCAGGGCAGGCCTGGGGTGGGGGTTCTGTTTTCCTCCCCACCTGGCCTCCTTTCCCCAGGCACCCACACAGCCAGACTCACAGCAGAAGACCTTTGTACTGGTTCCTCCACTGTTCATACCCGTTTCCTGGAATCACTTCCCAAATCAACTGCCTGGAGCTGAGAGGCCTGCTTCGCATTGTGGGCCAGTGTGCATCAGTAAATGGGCTGATAAGCACCACCTCACATTCTATCCTATGACGACCTTCCAAACTGGACTTTTCTACATTACCCTGGGCACAGATGGGTCCCAAGAGCCAGGACTGAGAAGGGAGCAACTGGAGATTAGGGATCCTAGCACCCTGTCTGCTAAGCACCCACTGGGGCCAGCCACTGTGCTAGATTCTCTGCAGATGCGCTAAAAGTTAATCCTTACTATTGCATATTTTACCCTTTTACAGATGAGAGAAATGAAACTGAGAGTTTAAAGAACTTGCCCAAGTGGTCCCAGATACACCCAAGCCTGACCACCCTCCTAAAAGTGGTCTTCCCACTGGGCAAGGCTGCCTCTCTTACCCAAGTTCCATTTACTGGCTCCTACTGTGTGCCATGTGGTGAGATAGTCAGTTTTGCACCTGCTCCTTTGAAGCTATTAGCCCTTATTCTGTGTTCAGCATTCAGCTGAGTGCTTTACAGGTATCATCCCTTTAGTCTTCATCACCAACTCTGTGAGGTGGATACCACTGTCACCTCCAGCTCAGAGGCTTAGAGGTTAGGTGACTTGCTAAACCATCAGCTCACTCGACAGCGAAGTCAGGATCTTGTCTGGGTCTGCCCGTCTCCCCAGGATAGGCATGCTCTGAAGCACCACCCCTCCTATCCTTCACCAGCCACCAACCTGCAGAGCCCTTACGCCCAGGTGCCCTGCATCCCACTCTGTCCTCAGCTGGACAAGAAGATGGTCCGTCGGAAGCAGGGCAACCACTACGTGCTGGATCAGTGTCCTCCCGCCAGCCTGGGCCCCGACATCCGTAGCCGCTTCTTCCAGCCAGGACCTCAAGGAAGCAGGTGAGTGCCCGGAGAGCAATTACCCTAGCCCAGGACCATCAGCCTTCTTCCTTAAGAGGACTCTGGCCCAACACCTGGGGAATCGATCCTTCTAAGAGACGAGGTCTGGAAGGAAAAAGGGAGAAAGGGTAGAAGGAAAAGAGACTAATCTTTGTTGAGGGTCTGTGTACCAAGCAGACCACTTTACTGAAGCCAGTTTTCCTGCCTTCCTGTCCCCAAGCTTCAGTGTGGTACCTACTGTCTTCTCAGATTGGCACCACCACCCCCACTCCCCATGCAGAGTTGAGCTCTCAACTTCTCTGCTCAAATCTGGTTCCTTAGGAGGAGCAGCAGATTAGCAGGTGGGTGGAGGGGAGCACCCTTAAACTAGGCTGCTGGCTCCATCACTCTGAGGGGAGACCTGTTCTCTCCCTGGACACACAGGGGTGGCTCATACCCTGGCAGGACTGAGAGAAGAGGGCAAGTGTTTCCCACCCATCTGTCCCACCCCCCTCCCCAGGGAAAACAGCTCTGATGGCAAAAAGTGGCTCAGCTCCGTGCCAGCACGAATGCACTGACGGCTGGAGTCCTGACTAGGCATCTGCCTGAGGCCTGCACACACATGGGTCACCAGGCAAGGGCTGCTGCTGGAGTTCGCCTTTGGGGCCTGGTAAGCCAATAAACACCAAGAACCTCAGCCTCTGTGTCAGGTGCCACAGAAGGTTCCAGGTTTCGCCCTCTATGTCAGCTCTCGAGTACACAGGGTTTGAGAGGCCTTGAGGCAGGACTTACCTCAAAGCCCTGTCCAGGGCTGGGGTTCCTGCTGCAGGTGACCTGGGTACACTCAAAACACAGACTTGGGCCTCTCCTCCTCTAGACTGAGAACCCCACAAAGGCAGGAATCCTCTAAGGGGTGTGGACATAAGGGAAGTATCTGGGAAAGACCTTGCCCCTGAGGTGGCAGGCCCTTGGGAAGCACAGGAGGCAGCTTCAGCCATGTCCTCTTCCATAGAACCTTAGGGCCCAAGATTCTCCCTCCTTCAGAGGCTAAGGAGTGGGTCCTTACCCCTCAGCCCACGTACCACTCACCCTACGGAACTGAGCAGAGGTAGCTCCCCAGGGTTAAGGAGTTAGGAGGCCAGGGACTGAAATGAGGACAAGGATCTGACAAGTTTAAAACATGTATTTAAAATACAATTTATAAAATGCTTAATCTGCCGACACAGGAGCCCGCGATGCGGGGTGGGGTTGGGGTGGGCAGCTGCCCGCTACACCAGCAGAGCAAGACTGCGGGGTGCGGCCCTCTCTCCCATGCCCTTCTGTTCAGACACCCAAGGGGCCCATGTGCACCCCTGGGATCACACGACTAGAAAACAAGACCCCAGAGGTTTCTTGAGTCTCTGTTTACCAGGGAGGCTGGGGGCAGCCCTGCCGGCCCATCCCTGAGCAGAGCACCCCCAGATGGGGCAGAGCAGGGTATGGCTGGGCTGGGCAGGGCAGGGTTGGGCGGGGCAGGTAGGCTCTGGAAGGGGCTGATGGTAGCAGATAGGGTGTTGCCTCCTGCCTGCAGGTGGGGAGCACCCTGATTGAGTGGGCTGAAAAGGGCTGGTCACCAGGCCAGGACCCCCAGCTCCTTTGGTTATAGGCTGACATCAGAGTAGTGGCTCATGGGAAGCGGTTAGCTGGAAGGTCTGAGGCCTGGCTCTTGGGATTGGGGAGGAGCTGGGGGAAGGGGACAGTACCACAATGGCAGATGAAGAGGCAGCAGCCTCAGGTTTCTGCCCCCATCCCCCGGGAAAGTTTTCTAAGCCACAGCCTGCAACTTACTTTTAAAGAAGGAAAAAAAAAAAAAAAAGCACTTAAGGAAAGAAACAGACAACTACAAAAAAAAAAAAAAAAAAAAAAAAAAAAAAAAACAGAGTAGAAAAACAAATTGCCAGGTCTGGGACTCAGACTGTATTTAGCCATGAAAGAGTCCAGCGCTTTAACCACCATACCACATGCTGGCCCCAGAATTTCCTTAAAAAAAAAAAAGAAAAAAAAAAAAAAAAAGCACTTAAGGAAAGTTACAGACAACTACAAAAAAAAAAAAAAAACATAAAATCCAAACCATTTTCCCTTCTCCCCTCCCACCTCCCCCCAACACAATACAGTTTCCTCTTTTCTTTTCTTTTTTTGTAAGTTTTGCCTGCCACCGCTCCATCTGGGTAGCCAAGGGCATGACTGCTGGTGGGTGGTGACAGGCACACAGTGGGCAGAGCCCCATCTTTGGCCGGAGGGAGGTGGGAGCACAGTCCCTGCCACATCCTCAATCTGCAGACACCCACAGACAGCCTTCCCTTTGGCTCCCACTGCGGGTGGCGGGGCATGCACAGGTGGTCCCAACGGCTGAGCAACCAGCACTTCTGGCCTTCCCACCTGGACTGCTTCTGCACCCTTCTCCAACTGAAAGGACAGTCTCACCTAGGGCCAGAAACTGCGATCCCTTGAGGGATGGACACTGGACGACTAGAACATGGGTACTTGGTCAGGGCAGTGGACTATAAGGATAGCAGCCAACGTTCTTCCTCCTCCACTCCTGGAGGCCTCCCCTCCTACTGTCTGAGGCTCTGCTCCAGCTCTGCTCGTGGGCAATTCCAGGCTCACACAAGTATGCAGCTGTGCTGCGGGCTAGCTGCCCACTCAAATGGCAGCTCCTAAGGGGAAGATGGAATGAGACATGGCTTGCTGGGCCTGACCCACCATTCCCTTAGGGCAGGGATGAGAGCCAGGCAAACCAAAGGTGGAAAAAGCCAGCAAAACCGCCCTGCCACCTTGGCCACCATAAGCTGCCTCAACTGCAAAACCACACTATAACCACTCAAACTCATCTGCTGCTCAGGAGAGGGGATGCTGTGAGGGATAAGGCGCAGTGCTACAGAAGAGACCAGAAAGCCTGAGAGCCAGGCTGCACACACAGAGCTGCTCTAGGAAGCTGCCCTCTTCCATCTTAAGGAGCCAGAGCAAAATTCCAGGCTCCAGGGACATAGGAAAAACTGCCTTCATTCCAAGGACTTGCTCTGGAAAAAGGGATGAGGGTAGCTAGGCCTACGGGGAACCGTCTGTCATCAATCTTTACAGATCAAAGCTCTTCTTTTCCCAACTCTGTTCAGAATGGTCTGCTCCCTGTGTGATTTCCCATGGGCAATGTATCAGGCATAATTACTGAGTTGGGGCGATCAACAGAAAAGGAGCACCGCAGACACTTAAGGGTTCAAGCCTTGCTGGATTGGGAAGATCCACCCATCACTGACCACATCAAGCAGAAGGCTGGGGAGTCCTGGAGCGCACACTTGCTCCTGGTCTTCCTTGTCCTGACTGCGAAATACTGAACAAGTCTCACATCCCTTACTTCAAAGCCCAGGAGTGTAGTCTCACTCCCTGCTCTTTTGGAAGTAGTAGGCCTGGCTGGTATGGAACCACCCTGAGGGGTATGGGAAGGGGAAGTGTTTTCACTTTCCCTATCTCCCAAAATACTAGAGGTGGGGTTGACACCCTCCCCAGGCTCTCTGAGCCTATAGCACTAGCCCAGTCTCCAGGCAGGGCCAAGATTCCCTGGGACGTAGCTGGGGGAGGGAGGTATAGGCATGGGGTGCTCATCTGTCCTGGGGGCTGCAGAGCCCTGCTCCCTTTCTGGGCGGCAGTAGAAACACAGAAGCTAAGCTCACCAAAATCCTATTGGTTAATGTTTCTAGTGAATTTTCCAGAAACATTTTTAAGTAGACTACCAAACTACCCTTTCTCAATTAAAAATTCATTTAACTGCTAAAACCCTTCCCATGCACTTTTTTCCTTGCAAATCAGTATTTGTATAAACAAACAAAAATAGGAAGAGAAAAAAAAAAAAAGAAAGGATATTTTCAAATGGAACTTACTTTTTAAGTGATGAAGACATGCACTTGGGGGTGGGTGGGCGGGAGTTCTCATCTGTGTTTTGAAATCCCAAATTAATGAGCATGATAAACTGTTATTGCTGGCACTGGCTTTACCCCAAGTGGCACTATCTGACTCTCTAGTCTGAGTCCTTGGTGAGTCCCCCCAACCCTCCCCTGATCCTCCCCGTTTCCCTTTCCATTGACTTGGGACAGCCCTTGTTGATGCGCCAATCACAGTGGGAAGGGGGGAAGGGGGGAGGTCACGACCGATGGAGGACGACCCGGGAAGTGGTGACGGTGGCAGCAGCGGCATCCTTTTCTGCCTGCATTTATCTGCGCTGTTTGAAGCCTTGTGACCCATCAGGACCCAAAGGCTGTCTGATCACATTATTGGGTTGCCTGCTGTCTTCCGGCTGGGAGATCCTGGTTGGCCTAAGGGAAGGAGATCAGAGGAAGGCATGAAGGAAGATATAAAAGATGTCCCCGGGGCCAGTAGGTGGTATGGTGGCTAAAGACTGGGCTCCAACATGGCTAACCATGGTTTGAGTCCTTGACCATGCAGCTTGAGAATCACACCAGGCACGTGTGTATTTGTGTGCCCAAAATCTCGAAGGGAGAAGGGATGATGTGGCCATTCCCCCTTGGGGAGTGATTTCTCCCTTTCCTTCTCTCTCTCTCTTCTCTGGCAAGCATATATGCCCTATGTCAAAATAAATAAATAAATAAATAAATAAATAAATAACAGAAAACTCCCATTGAACTGGCTTAAACAATGGAAACATTTATCTCACAATAAGAATTCCTGAAATGGATTGCTGGAGAACTAAGTGACACAACCATGATCCAGGTAGTTTCTTCTTACCCTGAGTCATCTGCAGCTCAGTTTCTTTGTTGGTCTTTTTCAGTTTTAGGCAGCCTATTCATACTGTAAGACATCCAGCCAGAGAGGAACTGCTGCTTTCTTTGTTTAGTAATTCAAACCCTTCAGAAGAGTCCTTCAGCTTCTTATTGGCCAGACTTTAATCACATACCCTGACTAAACCAACCACTACCTAGGAGAATGGAACAATAATGATTGGCTTAGACCTTGTATTACAAAGTGAAATTAAAGAAATAAATTAAGTAGCTCCCAACCCCAATTTTTCCATTGAAAAACTATAAATACCAACATACACGTATCTCACTACTTATACATGGGATAAACTATGATATAAAATGAATTTCTTGTTATCTGGATGAGAGTCAAATGATTTGAGAAGTAGGAGCTTAGATTAACCCTAAGCTATCCCTAGGGTAGAAGATATAGCCTGCCTTCCCTAAACACACAGCCATGTGACCAAAAGAGAGACCTGGACACAATGGGATTCTGTTAAGAAGGAGGAAGTAAGGAATAGCAGTTGGTGGCTTGGTGACAACCACAAGTAGCAAATGAAGAGGAGGGTCTCGTAGCTAGGGTAGACAAACATCATGTGTAGTGATACACAGAAGGATTCAGAGCCAGGCTTTGTGGTGAACATAGCAATTCAAGGTGCCAATCAGCTGCCTGTGGGTCTCTCTAGGTTCTACTGGGTGGCTGACAGACATACATAAAGCTGCTCTGGCAGGGTGTGAATTACAGGCCAAAAAAAAAAAAAGAAAGAAAGAAAAAAAAATGCTCAGTTTTTTCTTTCAAAACCTACAAGCATCTACAAGGGTTTTTACCATCTGATATGCAACTAAGCACATCTTAGCCAACTACATAGTTTATTTATTGATTTCCTCTGATGTGTTTTATGATACTGTTGAAATCATTATGTAGCTTTTAAAGCAGTGTGACTCAGGAGACAGACATGTTGAGGGCTGTCATCACCAAGATGCCTTCTGTCTTTGCACTATCTTCTTAACCTGACGTAAGGACATTCATCCCAAATTAATGAGCATGATAAACTGTTATTGCTGGCACTGGCTTTACCCCAAGTGGCACTATCTGACTCTCTAGTCTGAGTCCTTGGTGAGTCCCCCCAACCCTCCCCTGATCCTCCCCGTTTCCCTTTCCATTGACTTGGGACAGCCCTTGTTGATGCGCCAATCACAGTGGGAAGGGGGGAAGGGGGGAGGTCACAGTGCATGGGGTTCAAGGTCACAGTGGGCGGAGCAAGGGGGATCACAGTGCAAGTAAGTCAGGTCGTTCCCTCTGCTCAAGTCCAGCTGTAGGCCACAGCAGTGCAACCCGTGGCGGACGACCCAGGAGGTGGTGACGGTGGCAGCAGCGGCATCCTTTTCTGCCTGCATTTATCTGCGCTGTTTGAAGCCTTGTGACCCATCAGGACCCAAAGGCTGTCTGATCACATTATTGGGTTGCCTGCTGTCTTCCGGCTGGGAGATCCTGGTTGGCCTAAGGGAAGGAGATCAGAGGAAGGCATGAAGGAAGATATAAAAGATGTCCCCGGGGCCAGTAGGTGGTATGGTGGCTAAAGACTGGGCTCCAACATGGCTAACCATGGTTTGAGTCCTTGACCATGCAGCTTGAGAATCACACCAGGCACGTGTGTATTTGTGTGCCCAAAATCTCGAAGGGAGAAGGGATGATGTGGCCATTCCCCCTTGGGGAGTGATTTCTCCCTTTCCTTCTCTCTCTCTCTTCTCTGGCAAGCATATATGCCCTATGTCAAAATAAATAAATAAATAAATAAATAAATAAATAAATAAAAATCTTATTATGTTTTTTCTTTTTCTTTTCTTTTTTTTTTTTTTTAAATCACTCCTCCCCAGGGAGGCTGGCCACACCACAATCCCCTCTCTTCTACTCCCCCCCTCTTTTTTTTTTTTTTTATTTTTTTTTGTTTTTTCAAAAGGGAATGCCATGCATGTCAGTCAGTACAGAGACATTAATCTCCCCACTTCAACATTCCATATCTTTTCTGTTTTCCCCAATCATTATTTTTATTATTCTAATTATTTTTATGAAACAGTCAATTGCTATTTCTCATTTTGCTTGTAAAAATACTTTACCCATCATGAAATACTTCTCAGACCAATCCAGTTGAGAATACTATACATGTCATCATCAACCCCCCTCTTTTTTTTGAGAGGATATTTTGCTATAGGGTGCATGTGCTCACCAGAAAGATAGAAACAGAGAGTCAGAAAGCGAGAAATCACCCCCCAGGGGGAATGGCCACACCACAATCCCTTCTCCTCCATTCTCCTCTCGGGATCTTGGGCACAGACGCACACGCATCCGGTGTGAGTTTAAGCACCGGGTCCAGGACTCAAACCGCAGTCAACTATATGGGAGTACAACGACATAGCCATTATGCTAACTGCTGATCCCTACTTTCCTCTTGGAACCCTGGGCATGAGCACACAAGCTGGGACCCAAACTGCATAGTCAGCTACATGGAGATCCAGCTGTCCCAACCACCATGCCACCTGGCTGATCCCAAGATGGCCCCATTCCTGTTTTCTTTCCTTCTGTTTTTTACTATAGGGCACATGCACTCACCAGAGAGAGAGACAGAAAGACAGACAGATAAAGGGAGAGTGAGAAATCACATCCCATGGGGCATGGCCACACCGCAATCCCTTCTCCACTATTCTTTCAGAATTTTGGGCACACATGCACATGCGCCCACCATGGTTTTAAGCCAACTTGTCTGGGACTCAAACCGCACAGTTGGCTATGTGGGATCCAGCACCTTAACCACCATGCCACCTGTTGGCTCAGATGTCCCCATCTTAAAATCGATCATTCTTACAGCTGGGGCAGAAGTCAGAGAATCTATCAATCAACTTGAGCTTCATGAGCCTGATTATTTCACAAGCATACCCAAGAGTATCTGCAAGTTGGGAAGTCCTTATGGGCAGCAAGGGGCTGGCAGTCCATGCTGACCTCTAGCAGCTACGGCATTCTTCCCACCAGTTTGGCTTGCCATCATTCATTTATAGGCAGCAGTGGCCGCACATCCACCAATGACCAAGCAGCACAGGCTCTTCAGTGTCAGGCCAACATGAAGACCCCTCACCAGGAGGCTCAGCAGAACGACATGGTACCACCATTTCAGCTTTCCTGATTCTCTTCTCCAGACCATGTGGTTAATGGCTGACTCACGTATTTCTACAGAGGACTAAAGGAAATTACCTTTTTCTACTCCAGAAAGGTGAAGCATTATTGGAGAAATAACAGATAATGAATATCCCTTCAAAATAATGAAGGGAGGGCCAGCAGGTGGCATGGAGGCTAAGGCAGCTAGATCCCACATGGTCAGCTGCATGGTTTGAGTCCTAGTGGCTTGAAAAACAGACCAGGTATATGTGTGTGCATGCCCAAAATCCTGGGAGGAGAATGGAAGAAAAAGAATTGTAGCGTGGCCATTCACCCTGGGGAGTGATTCCTCTCTCTCTCTCTCTCTCTCTCTCTCTCTCTCTCTCTGAGTCTGTCTCCAGCGAGCATGCATATATAGCAAAATTATTAATAATCATAATAATAATAACAACGATAACTGGACAGAAAGAAGGTACAAAGGTTAGCTCTTCGAGTCCCAGAATATCAAGCTAAAGAGGTCCCTCGAAGTTAGAAAAAGGCTGTTTTAATAAATATTGCTTTGTTAGGAAGTGACAAACTTACATAACTCCTAGTACAAAGAGAAAATAATGTCAAGAGTAGGGGCCAGTAGGTGATGTGTTGGTTAAGGCACTGGACTCCCACACGGCCAACCACAGTTTAAGTCTTGGACCTGGTGGTTTGCTTTCTCACTTTCTCTCTCTCTCTCTCTCTCTGTTTCTCTGGTGGGCACACATGCTCTGTAGCAAATTTAAAAATAATAATGATAAATAAAATTAAATGAATAATTTTTTTAAAAAAATTGTGAAGAGTACAATGATTTTGGAAAATTCACAAAAACATCAGAGTGGCTTATTGGATACCCAAAAGATAGCATGAAAATACTTAACTGAGAATTTCCCACTGTGCCAAGAAGAGTTCCCAAGCACCTCATACTAATCTGCTCATTCACTGACTTAAACAACAATTGGAGGGACCAGCAACGTAACAGCTACATCACTGGACTCCCATGTAGTCAGCTGCAGACCCATGGGACTTATGCCGGGTGTGTGTGCGTGCATGCCCAGAATCCCAAGAGGAGAATGGAGAAGAGATT